AGATAACTTAAAATCACACTTTGACACAGAACTTAGCTGAAGAAAGCAAAACAGTACCAAAAGGAAACAACATTTAATATTACTGAGAATTTGTTTTACAAAAAATATTTAGAGATAATTATTGCTAGATATTCCTAGAAATAGAATGGCAGATATTTCAAGGAGAAAAAGATGTAACTGTCTCAGTCGGGATGAACATCTTGACAAGGCTGAAAATTTTGTTCAAATAGATTCCTACAAAAACTGAAGAAAAAAACACTAAATTACTGGCAGAGATGAGCAACTGATTTTATATAATCTGATAAAATACCAAGGACTAAAGTTCAAAACTTTACAACCCTTGAAATATTGGACAAGCAGCCAGTTGTATTACCAGGTTAGATGTTTAACTGGGATGACATTGATTAAAACACTGAAGGTTGAATAACCTGACAGCTCATATGACGTTCAGTTAGCTTTCCTTTAAAAGGCTAGCTTGAATAGTTTATTTAGTTAATTAAAAGAAAGGGGGCATGTTTTGTGCCTTCAACAGACACATATTGGAAGCACTGATGTTGATCTGTTAAATGTAAACATCTCTATCAAAACTGTATGGCCTTAAACAGATTTTTTAAAATGGAACAGCTATATGAACTTTTAACGAGACTTCTAGAGAAAAAATCCCAGATGAGAATGGAAGATGCATAATGTTAAGTTTTCAGACTGAATTTGGAAAATAATTGATTTTTGTGCAGAATACCAAAATAAAGTTCTCTGAAATATTGTTATAGTTTTTTACTATCTCAATTTTTCTTGAAAATGCAGAGGAAGATACAATATCTTAATCATTTTAGATATGATTAATATTCTCCCCCCTCCCCCTTATATGATTAAAATGATTTTATCCCAAAGAAACTTTGGCAAACTCCCAAAAAAGTTTCCGCATATACTGTATGTCATGGCTATTTCTCTGGGGAATGTCCTACAGAGAGAATTCAGTTCATAAAACTTATTTAAGGCTAGATACATGTTCAATTTCTACTTTACTGTTAACCAACCTTATAGACTGTACTATCAAGAGCCTGATAGTACAGTGGACTAAAGCACTGTTATTAACATCTGCTGCTTGCAATTACTGCAAGTTCAAATCTCACCAGGCTCAAGGTTGATTCAGATTCAGCCTTCCATCCTTTCAAAGGTAGGTAAAATGAGGACCCAGATTGTGGGGACAATAAACTGACTTTGTATAAATATACAAAAGTATGAAGGCTATTGCTTAATGCATTGTAAGCCGCCCTGAGTCTCCAGAGAAGAACGGCATATAAATTAAAGCACAAAAAAAAAAAAAAAAAAAAAATGTGGAGGTAGCAGATGCTGCTAACATGGATAAATAACCCAATATTTGTAAGACTTGTCTCCTGAAAGGATTCAGTTGGAAGAGTCATAGGCAAGGAAAGTGGTGTTGCCTAGCATCCAGGAGGGGAAGTTATTGTTGGCCTCATAAGACTAAGTGGAAGACCTAATTCCCCCCACCCTTCAAGGACCAGTCAGGTAGAGAGAAGGGTTGAACAAAAGCATTCAGTAAGATTATTGGCCAGAAAGAATTCCACCCATCAAAGAAAATGCTTAACGCATTGTAAGCCACCCTGAGTCTTCGGAGAAGGGCGGCATATAAATAAAATAAAAAAATAAAAAATAAAAAAAATAATCAGGGTCATACTATCCCTATATAAGGGACGCTACATGCCTCACATATCCTTTGGAGACAACTCTCCCTTTACTTGCCCACTGTGCTGTGTTCTGAAAGGAAATGGCTTGGATTGGACTTGTTTTATTATTATTACTATGTATTTGTATGGTTATATTCCTTTTCAAAATGGGTAGTTCTCAGAGTAACAGCTGCCAAAATCTTCCATCTGGACCCATTGTCGATTTCGGCAAATCTGCACACAATGAATTTGAAGAGGCCCTATAAGACAATGTTAAAGGTAAACCTGATGATTAACAACTAAGAATGTTCTTTGCCAAAATATATTGACGTTGATATAAATTTTAGCAATTAATCAGGTTATCCAGTTAACTGATAAGCTCCTTGCTGGTTCTAAGGAGTCTATGATAATTTAAAAAACGACATTAACTTGGTGTTTGCATTTGTTTAAATATGCCACAACAATTATTCAAAGAGAAATCTTTGTTAGTAGGATGCAAATTTTTCTCTTTATCTCAAGCTTGAACAGATGATTGAAATTGTCTACAACTGTGTAAAGGAAGAAAATGTAAATATTATTCCATCATGTCAGGTGTGCTTCCTTCAAAATCCAGGAAAGAAAAACTCAGACTCCATGATTTATAGAGACAGGTACTTTTACTAGAAATGAAATGAACGCAACCACGGCTAAGCTGAAATTAAAGCAATAGGCGCAAAAAGTGCATATAGAAAGCATCCCCTCCCACTGTCCAAACAATTTTGCAAGGGTTTTAGCTGAAGGGATTTTAGAACAGGGGATGAAATGCACTTGTTTGGAAAACAGGTCCATTACCGCCCAAATGATGGTGCAGCCTTCACTTTCTGGTAGGTCCACAATAAAATCCATGGATATTTCTTTCCAAGGGGCATTCGGCCTTGCCACACTCTGAAGTAAACCGGGCGGTTTCCCCGGAGGTCTCTTAGCCGAGGCACACATCGGACAACTAGCTACATATGCCTCTATGTCCTTTTTGAGTGCAGGCCACCAAAATTGTCTTTTAACGAGATGTAGAGTTTTAACAAATCCAAAGTGCCCTGCCGCCTTGGCATCATGAGCGTACTGCAACACTGTTACTCTTAAACTGGCAGGAACATACAATTTTGCCCCAATCCAAGCTAGACCATCACGGAGTGTACATTCATTTGAGTGGGTTTTAAACCATTCGTCAGTTCTCAAGGCTTCTTTCAGTTTCTGAAGAAACTCGCCCGAGAGGTCTGGATCGGCCTTCGCCTGTGCTCTGGTAGTCATTGGTGCTGTTGTATTGAGGCAATCTGGAAAGTGCATCTGCCATGAAGTTCTTTCTACCAGGAAGGTATCGTAGAGTGAAATTAAAACGGTTGAAGTGCTGGGCCCAATGGGCTTGTTTTGGTGACAGCTTATGGGGTGTTTTCAACACCTCCAGGTTTTTATGGTCAGTCCAAACTTCAAAAGGGTGCTTTGCTCCTTCTAGAAACTGTCTCCACGTTAACAATGTTAACAACGCCCATCGCACTGCGAAAGGCGCGAAAAGTGCATATAGAAAGCATCCCCTCCCACTGTCCATCGTAAATCATCCAATCCAAAGGTCTTCCAGGGTCAGGTGGAAGCACGTCTGGCAGCGTCATCAATCAGGAATGCCACGACGGTTACCCGATAGCCACTCCAAGGAATCAGTTTCGTTTCTTCCGAAGCCACGCCCCTCCTCCAGCATGCTTCCCCCCCAAGCTCCCTAGTTCTCCCCCCTCCCGGTTCCTATAGCAGCCAAAGCAGCAAAAGCGGAGGCTGACACATCAATGTATTATTAATAGGGATTCCTAGGTTAACGTATTTTAAGAATATATATTTTTAGCATTTAAATCTTTAAGAATATTTTGAGACAATGTAACATTGGGAAGCTATAGTTTAAAATATTTTAAGAAAGCAATAAATGCATGTTTTCCATGTATGTTTTCTTCCAGGTCAGAGAGTATGTGAGGGAAGAACCTTGTTAAAATGGAGCTCTTCCTCTTCTTTACCAACCTCTTTCAGAGATTTACTTCCAGCCACCCCCAGGAACATCTAAAGATTATCTATTTTTGGACTTATGCCCCCCACCTCATACTTTACAAAACCTGTGCTATGTTATGTTAATCCAACAGAAAAAAACCGTAACAAGGTGTTTCCTCAGCCTTTGAAATGGCTTTATTTTAACAGAGAGGCAAAATCTGACAACATAATTCCATATTTATTATTTATTTGTTTATTTATTTGTCTCTCATATTTATTAATATTATAAACAACCCAATTTGGTGAACATATCCAATACAACTTGCTACTCCTCTTTTCTCAACAGCAACAACCTTTTGAGGTGATGAGAGAGTGTGACTGGCAAAAAGTCACCCATGTAATATTCATGGCTAAAGCGGGACTTGAATTCATGATCTCCTGCTTTCTAGCCTGGTACCTTGATCACTAAACCGAACTGGCTCTCTTTATTATTTAGGTTCCATATGTTGTTTAAAACCTACTGTGTTTCCCTGAAAATTAGACTGGGTCTTATATTAATTTTTGCGCCAAAAGATGGATCAGGGCTTATTTTCTGGTTAGGTCTTATTTTTGGGGAAATACTATACTATATGCACCCATCTGATTGACAGGCTTAACTGGGGCTTATTTGGGGGGTTAGGGCTTATATAACGAGCATCCTGAAAAATCACGCTAGGACTTATTTTCTGGTTGGGTCTTATTTTCAGGGAAACAGATCTACACAAAATCTTGCCAGACTGAGCACTTTATTATCTGTATACAATATATGCTGCAAAGGGAAGGGCTGTCTTCACCCTATTTCTCACACACATAGAATCTGAATTGAGTTGCCTCTTACTCCTCTGAAAGGCACCTCTTCTCTCTTGGGAATCCACCTCCTTACTATATTTCATCACATCTATGTAAATTCAAAGAATATACAAGAATAAAAGAATATACAAGATTCAAAGGGTTTGGCTAGTAATATGGAGAAGATTGAATGATTTGAGTTGGTGAATTTAAAATGTCTTTGCATTCTATGAAAACAATTATCAATAAGTGCTTCCAATTGAGCACTACTCTATTATTTCTTAAAGATCTCTTATCAGGTCTCTGTCTAAGCTTGAAAACAACTGTTGTTCCTTTAAAAGTTGCATTAACTTTAATATGGAATAGCATTGCCATTTCATAAATGGACTTCAAGGTTATCTCTAAATATATCATAACATGTTCAGACGTGTATAACATCAAATACAAGGTTTGATTCCTCAAATTAGATAGCTGCATTTTCCAACCATCATAGAATCCACCAAGTTCACTCAGGTTTAGCTAAAAGGCAGAAAGGGATGTGGGTAAGTCTGACAAACTGACAAGGTAAGAATCTGGCATTCATGCTTTTTAGCAGAGTTAATGATGGTAAGTTATCCTCCAGAACATTTCCTTGAGCCGGAAACCCCTTGCTGTGTAACACCTTAGCTAGATTTGTTGCAATGAGACGGTTGTACCCTTTCCTACGATGCTTGGGCAATGTATAGCCATGGATCATAGTAGCAAATTGGTCTGTCAGACCCCAGGAGATGGGGCATCCATGTTCATCCAAAACGCACATGCTGGGGAAACAGCAAATGAGGTTGATGAGGTATTTCTGGCACTGGTCACTTCCTCCTCGGGACCAGGTGTTATTCAGCAGACTTGCATGAGATGCATCAAGGGAAGTCAGTTTCGGTGCAGGAACTAACCTAAAAAAGTTCTTTCCTTAACATTTACTGTAAACAACTTAGGATAAATCAATATACGAACACATGGGGGGATTGAATCCTTTTATGTTCACAAAGAAATACCCAAAAGTAGGACTTTTAAGACATAATTTGCTCAATAGGGCAAATGGAGAAAAAAATGTTCAGTTCTGGAGTCTTCCTTCCTCCCCACCCAAACAGATAATTACAATCTTCAGAGTAAATTTATTACACTTAAAACTTCTCCTGAGAATTTCAGAAATTATTGGAGTAATAGGGGCAGAAAGCATCAGACTGCTGGGAATGCTTGACTTAACTGAAACTTTTATATCCACCTTCATAAATTAAAATTTTACTTTAACATTTACCAAAAAGGACCATTACTATAAAAAAGCTGTAATAGTAGTTAGACATACGGAAGTTGAACATCTAGAAGTGCATCTGGGTTTGGGCAGATTACCATTTTGAAAGAAGACAACTTCACATTTACATGCTTGGCATCAGCAACAATCTTGGAAGTTTTGTATAAATCATCCTGTAAACCTATGTTCAGAAAAAAATATAATTATATTTTAAATAAAGCATTAAACAAAACACCATCTTTAAATATAACCAAAACTATTAACGATCTATAAAACTACAAATATTGCAATCTTGCTTAAAATACTTTGACTTTTTTGGAAACTGTTTCGAAGTGAATAAAAACCAAAATAATTCAATTGTAGGTGACATTATGAAACCAAATCTACAGTCAAATTGGTATCACATGCTGGATTATTCAAATAATAAATTCACTCTTATTTGCCAGAAATATCTTAGGGGCACTTAACACAGGACTGAAAGAAATCCAGCAAAATAATCATTCACAAGAACATTTGATTAATCATTTGCCACTAAGTCAGTATCAATTCTTAGAGATCAGATAGATTTTGTCCATGACAATCTGTCCCTAATCTAGTGCTTCAGGTTTTCCAACAGTGAATCCATTACCACTGTAATCAAATCCATTCATTTTGCTAGTGATTATTCTATTTTTCTCTTTTTCCTTCATTTGGTATTGCTACGTAAACTGACTTTTTGCAATGGAGCCACCTCCATTATCCTTCTATCTAGCTGCTGCCCAATAAAAGTGCCTGTTTAGCCGGGCAGCTGCAACAATTTTTACACCTTGGGGGACCCTGCTGGGGTTAAATGCACTTGGCATACAATTATCAGTTGACCCTTGCCATATTGAAAGTGGTTTTGTGCTAAATTGATTGTCATTCTGTCAATATCTATTTCAAATAATCGCATGATTTCTGGAATGTTTGTACAGGAGATGGACTATCCAGCTAAATAAGGAAACTGCTGTGGAAAACTATCCAATTGGATTGCTTCACATCCATTTTTTTATTATCACATGCACCTATATGCTAACAGTAACTGCCAGATTTAGAAAAGATAACTGTATGTACAAAAGGGAACGTAAGGTGATCAGATCTTAAAGAAAGTAGACTGAATTCTTTAAAATTCAGTTAGAAGCAAGAATATCTCATCAGAAATAGGCAGGACAACATCATATCTCATAGCTTGCCTAATCACTGGAAAAGGGAGAAAAAATAATATTAAAGCCTACCCACAAATATTCCACCTATTGTTGGAGGTGGAGGAGTTTCTGAGAAAACTCTTGTTTGATAAAAAAAGAAGCTGTTGGTACATGGCATTGTCCAAGGAGTATAGAAGGATGCTGGTTCTTTACATGGAATTGAAGTAGAGAAAAGAACTCTACTTCCAAGCAAGGTCAGAATGGCACTATTGACCTTTCTTTTAATTATTTGTACCCAAAGTTAAATATCAACTAAGAATAGAAGCAATAGTCACTGGAAGCAAAGATAAGAAATCTACTGTATTAATACAAAATTAAATCTATTGATAAAAATAAACACAAACCTATTGGAGTTCAGTTTTCTTTTATCACATTTACTATTGCTTAAAAGTCATAATTCACCCAGGTTTAAATATGTGTTTTGTCATCCCTCGCAGAATCTGTGACATAGGCTACTACCTATTAGTACATGTTGTTTGCAAACACCCCAAAGTCACTTAGATGAGCTGGGAGATGTAGAAATTTGATAAGTAAATAAATTCTTCTGGGAGTAGGAATATATAATTAATTTCGGAGGGATTATTATATAGAGCAGTACTCATTGCCACTTGAGCATAATACTCCTTTTGTTTCCCAGCACGGTTTCTCTAAGCCTATACATCTTACTCTCTCTTTGCTTTCAGTACCACTGAATGCCAATTTAGGTGCAGTGGCAGAATTTGAGAGGGGCATATATTTATCTCCTTGACTTATTATAGGAAGAGGCAATCAGAAGGGCCTGTTGGAAGCTAGAAAGGACAGTCATGGAGGCACACTGGAGAATTTTCTACTTCTCCTTCCTTTGGAGCTGGCCATGGAGTAGTTAATGAAGCACCAGAAGTGTTCTATCAAATCTCAGCCATTTTATCTCATTATAACTCTGGCTGAATAGAAAGAATGTCAGAAAACAGAGGAAAAGGAAGAGACATCTTTAGAGTGCTAAGTCTCTGTGATGATTGGGATGCTGAAGTTACCAGTCAAAGGATAACAACACCGGGCATTTCCTCCCAGTTTCTATTCCAGCAGTTAGAAGCAAGTAGGATTTGGGAAGAGCAAGTCTAAGGAAGAATGGCCATTCCATCCTGTGATAAGTGTCAAGATAATAGGGTTAGGAATAATTTTAAGGTGGGCTAGTATTGATGGGATATAGACAATCCATAGAAATAAGCAAATCTCTTTTAAAACTCATTCTAAATTACTTAATAGAAATCAATTTGTTCCTTTATTTCTGTGTTAACCAAGTGCCTATGCTATCCTATATCTTTCCCATGTGCCTCAGAAATTTAAAAATGTTGGAACAAGATTTTAATGGTGGCAGTGGAAGACAAGGATAATAAAGGAAAAGATCCTCCATGTCAAGGAAGCATGCCATTGGCCCTCACAAGCTTTCCTCCTGTTTAGAATCAAAATAATATAAGTTCAAAGTTATATAAGGTAATTTAGAGAAGAAAATGGGGCTGTTAAGGAGCTCCAATCCACCCACATTATTCTGCTTGCTAAACAAGATTCATATGCAAAATGATATGGCTCCTGCACCTGGAGAATCAAAAAAAGTTTCTTACTTGTTCCAGTTATCTTTCAGACTAACTTTTGGGGAATCTTAGGAGAAATATCTCATCATAAAAGATTGATGAAAAAACAGCATCCTATTAGAGTCTGGTTTAGCTGTATTATCATTGTTATTAATATTCTATTTGAAGCAGCTTTTCTCACTTGGTAAACACTGGGATAGTCTGGGATAATAGATGGTATAATTAAACATATTGGTGTGAAAATTGAATGGAGAAAGACTTTGACATCATATACAACTGATGACTCACTGTTGAAATTCTCAACTCTGTACCATTAGAAATTTTCAGTCTCTCATTTTAAAATATTTTTTAAAATTCAGGATAATCATTAGTGTGTTCTTTTTCATAGCAAAGAACTTTTACCTTGTATCTGGAAGGCTTGCTCCCAGTTTATAGTTTCTGGGTTCTCCAACAATGCCTGGTAAGCTTGCAGATTTTTGTAGAAAACAGCACAGGCATTTGTAAAGTAGTCTAGGGCATCACTTTTGGACTATGTGTGAAAAAAGCAACATCTTAATTCAATTCATAGTATTATGCACGCAGATATGCACCTAGTTTGTTGCTATAGATAAAGGTCATAAAAATGAAACGAGGAGGTCTGCTGATCAGGGCACTGACTAGCTGCAGATCAGTAGGAGAACCTACACGGAACTGCAGCTAGGATACCAGTTGGGAGTTTTCTTGGCTCAGGAAGGAAGAATAGACTACTTTCAACCTGGAAAATGGTTAAGAAAGCCACTGCAATCCTTCTCCTATGCTGCCTGGACTGCATTCACATAATACATTACACAAAACAAAACAATTGAATTGAATTGAAATAGCCACTAGCCACTGAGTTTAACCCTATTATAGAGATATTATTATAGAGGAATTATTATAGAGATAGCACATTCACCACTTACTGCTTATTTCATTTTAATGTTATGTTTGGCATTATTGGTTTGATCTTCTCAGAGGCTATCAAAAGTTTTCATTTCAACTTTTAGTTCTAATTATTATAACTAAATCTTTAACTAAATTAACTAAATGTTAATTAAAATTAATTATCGCTTAGAGGAAGGATAGGTAAACCACACTCCCTAGCTCACCAAATTTCTCACTTTCCTCTAAAATTTCCCCAATTGATTTTGCTGAGCCTCTTCCTTAAAAGCCCATTTTTCTACAGCTACATTCTAAATGAAGTGCTTGGTGCACTAAGACCCAAACGGTTGTCCACTCCTGAAACAATCAATACTTAGAAATTGGTTGGTTCCTTGAAAACATAGTTAAGATAACCAATGACAACCAGAGTTTTGACATAAAAGCAAATTAGAACAAAAATGAAAGCAAAAGTAGCCAGGACATTGAATTTTGTAACTCTACATGTGAATATAGTACACATCCACATTTTTGGAGGACACCAACTCAGGAAAATCTGTATAAATTTTAGATTAATGCCCCCAATGTTCATTGTGCATTTCAGGGTATTTAGAATAGATCCATTACAAGTACTGTTTTACCTCTTTTTGTCGGCGAGTAATCACAGCTTTAAATTCTGGCCATGAATCCACAACCACTTCCTTTTTGAATGGATTTCCTCTGTTTATATTCAACACTGCTCCATAAACCTTCAAATAATAACGGGCTTACAAAGTTTTATTAAACAAGAACACTTTTAAAAATCTGTTTCTTTAAATTCTTTTATATTCTCAAAGCTTTCACCAACTGGCACTATTTGCAACTTCAACATTTATTGACATCTTCATTCAGACTAGCAGCATTTTCAGCTTTAGACTCTATACTCTGCTGCCCCCACTGGTCCTGCTGTCCTGCAGTCCAATACCACAAAAGTTCCTGCTCCTAGCCCGTTTTGTTAGGTTTTGTTAGGTGCTGCAGGGTTCAGTACTCTCTACATGTAGATGAAGCTGCTGGGTTAGGTCATCCGCTGCCATGAGATATGGTATCACACCAGCTGCTTATCTTTATCCCTAGTAAGTTAATTGATGCTGTTGATATGTTATTTTGATTTCTGGAAGCTGTTAAGGACTGATGGGGAACAACAGATATCATTTAAACCCTCATAAGACTGGGAGGCTTTGGGTTTTAGAGCCTTCAGCATCTGGGGATTTATCATCTTTAAATGAGTTTGCAATGCCACGAAGATACCCAGTGTACACTGGAGGTTCTTCTGGATTCATGAGTCCTGCTCAAAGAGCAGGTAGCAGTTATTGCCAAAAGGGCAATTGCAAAGTTTTGTGTTGCACTCCTGTTACACCCATTTTTGAATTGGGAAGTTCTACTCTGTTATTCAAGCCACAGTCTAGATGGAGTACTGTAACATGCTGTGCATAGGGACACTCTTGAAGCAGCTTTTGCTGCTACAAAATGCAGAAACATAGGCAGTTGTGTGTGCTCCAAGAACCGCACACATTATACCTGTTTTGTAAGCGGTGTTGGCTACAAATTTGCTTCTGGGCCAATTTACAGCTTTACTTGGTGTGTGCCCAGGTTATTTGAGGGACTGCCTGCCCCCAGTTACATCTGTCATCTCATCAGTTCAGGAGGTACAGATTATGGCCCATCAGCTTGAGTTTTATTGAGCAGACCTAGGAGGAAAGCCTATTCTGACCACCGTCCTGTGAATCATTTCTCCTGAGGTAAGCCTGACCTCAATCATGTTGTCCCTCTGGAAGGCCCTCAAAATGTGGTTTTGCCAATAAGCTTAGGGATCCCATGATAAAATTGAGTGTGCTAGATCACTGTATAATAGGGATTTTTTTTTCTTTTCAAATTTAAATTGTGGTTTTTAATGGTTATTATGCATGCTGCCCAGAATCACTGTTAGGTGAGTGGTTATATACATGTGACAAATAAATAAAAACAGTTCGATTTGATCTTCTTTTTGTGTATTTTAATATTTTATCTTGAATTATCTACATTACCTTGAGAGATTCAGGAAAATTCTTCTTTAACATTTGTTCTAGAACCTGCAGTTTTGTGGAACAGTTAAGCACCAACATCTTCACTTGCCTATTTAACAGCAACCTAGTACAAAAGGAGATATCTGGAAAAAAGAGAACTTCGATGGATTGGACAAATGGCGTTCCTAGATTTTACTCAATGCTTTGTAAGATTAGCATTGCCTTAAATAATATGAACTTTATCTTAAATTCTTTGTAAAGATGTTTCTACATTTACTAATATAATAAAGGCTCTGAATATTCAATACCAACTCAAATTGTACCATAGACACAAATCCTATCATGGAGCTTGGTGGCCTCAAGAATAAACCAACCAAGGCTTTACAGTGGAATTTATAAACTGGATTACCTGTACAGGTAATCCTTGACATATGACAGTAATGTCCTAGATCCCATTCATGTCAGGAGTCAAAGACTATGTTAAATGTAGTCAGGAACCCATTCATGTCAGGATTCAAGGACTATGTTAAATGAAGCATATAATTAACCTCCCTGTCCTTGCTTTCCCTGATGCATTCATTAAATGATTGCACGGGTCAAGTGCATGGGTCATTAGGTAGAGCATGGGGTGACTCAGGGATGGGGGAAACTGTGGGAGGCCTAGTGCTGGCACAGGTGAATCTGGGAATCCTCCCCCACCCTGATATCCCATACTTTACCTCCTGCCCCTTTGATTCCCTAAAGTCCTATGGGCCTCCTCCAGATTCCACCGTCATAATCGCATTTATCTTTCAAAGATATCCAGAGGATAACATGGCACAATTGAAAAGAAATCCTGCTGGTTTTGCTTCCCTCCAGCCAGTGTAAATCCTCCCATGTGGCCTCTTCCTTCCCAGCTTCCTAAATTCTGCAGATCTTCAGAAGATAAGCATGTGAAGAATGGAAAACGACCACTTGAAATCCGGCGAGGGGCAAAGCCCATGCCTTTGGGGACCCAGCAGGCCAGGATAGGGGGGGGGGGGAATAGATGTGGTTGTGCTGCAGCATCATTTCAAAGAATTCTGCAGAAGCAGAATTCATAAGGGTGGTTTCTGTAGAATTTGTTACTTTGAAAAAGTCATATATAATTTTTGGGGGGTTGGGGGGTTATGTTGTAACTTTGAATGATCATTAAATGATCTGTCATACCTCAAGGATTACCTGAAGTTACAAATCAGGATTTTAAATCCCAGTGGACATTACATCATTGATTTTCTACAATACTTATTAGATTATTGCTTTATGTTTTTTTTCATTCATTAGTCAATTCTGTATGATTCTGAGTTTATGTATTGAATAAATTAGTTCCTTCACTAAAGGCTATCCAAAGCACAATAAACAAATATCAGGCATTATTGTTGAAAAAATACTGTACATATCCTGTACAGTACAGAATTTTTTTAAAAACTATATTGCCTTTCAAGCTCAATGATACCATATACTAAGAAAATATATAGAAGCTTTGAATGAGATAGTGGAAGAGTGATGCAAAAAGAAGCAGTCCCAAACTAGCAACACTTAAATTATACACTCTGGATGCAGAACCTATAGTATAGGTAGAATGACAGACTAAAAAGAAACTCATTGGAAGTTTTGCATTTCAAAATTAGGTACTTTTAAAAAGATCTATCCATTTAAAGAAATTACTCATAAATTAGGGAACCCTGAATACTTAATGTATTGATCTGTCTAGACAATCATTTCAAAGGCCATAATCCCAATTCTCATAGATAGCTGGAGCTGTCCTCACATACCTGGAGTTGACTCTGCAGCGTTATTATACAGACGCAGAACACAGCCAAAACAAGAAGAGGGAGCTGCACTTCATATTATTGCTGATACCTCACCCCATATCGTCAGATGATCTCACCCAGTGGCTTCATGTAGATGTTAAATAGAAGGGGAGAGAGGACTGAGTCCTGAGGCACCCCGCAAACAAGGGGCCTAGGGTCAACCTCTGTCCTCCTACCAACACCACGCCCACCAAAATAAACCACGCTCACAGAACCAGTAGTAAAAAATTTTAGAACCCACCCCTGAGCGAGGTGCTTGGATCGAGTAGCCAGTGAGGCGCTTGGATCGGGTAGGCAGTGGCTGGTGGCTGCTGGCTACCCCATCCAAGTATCTCGGCCTACCACAGACCCAGCAGGACTCTCCTGCGGCCGCCTCCCACCCACAGGGTGCCAGCCTACACTACCCCATCCAGTCACTGGGGGAGATGTGCAACTTTTCTCTGCCCCGGAACACTGGCTGCCTAGGCTGCAGCCGATGCTCTGCATCATAATGGGTTCCAGGAGGAGGAGGGGCACCATCTGCCCCATTGCAAAGCTCAGTAAGAGCAACCAGAGCCAGCTGCAGGTGCAGCTGGGCGGGCGCACGCGTAGTGGGATGCAGGCTTAAGATCCCGCCTCCAGGCTGAGGGAGCGACCCGATGGTGCAGTAGGTACAGTGCCGCCGCTGCCACACAGCAGGAGAGGAGAAAGAGAGATGGAGAGAAAGGGGGGAGAAAGAGAGATGGAGAGAAAGAGAGATGGAGAGAAAGAGGGGGGAGAAAGAGATGGAGAGAAAGAGAGATGGAGAGAAAGGGGGGAGAAAGAGAGATGGAGAGAAAGAGAGATGAAGGAGAGAAAGAGAGGGGGGAGAAAGAGAGATGAAGGAGAGAAAGAGGGGGGGAGAAAGAGAGATGGAGAGAAAGAGAGATGAAGGAGAGAAAGAGGGGGGGAGAAAGAGAGATGAAGGAGAGAAAGAGTGGGGGGAGAAAGAGATGAAAGAGACACACAGAGATACCTGTTTAAAAGAAAATACTGGGAGCCACAAAACCCGGGTGGAAGTAAGCAATATGGAGTTGGCAATGCCCACCCAGGTTTAAGGTTGGGTTTAAGTGTTTACATGTGTTTAAGGTTGAGTGTTTAAAGTTGCAGACTCCTGACCTACCCCATCCAATCGCTTCACCCTGCAGCCAGCCCTGTAGGCCTGCGCCCGCCTCCCACCTGGGCAGCAGCAGCCTACCTACCCCGGTTGTATCACCTTGCCCTGCAGCTGGCCCGAACGCCGGCCTCGGACTGCCTCCAACCACTCCAGAAGGTCATTTTTATTTAATTAATTTAATTAAGTGCTGCAATGGGCATAAATAATGACCGGTCAAAAGTGCGAGGACCTGTCAGAAATCACTTTTTTCAGCCCTCTGGATAGTCCCTATGTGCATACGGACTACACAGAGGGCTGAAAAAGTTATTTTTGACTGGTCCTCACACTTTTGACCAGTCCTTGCACTTACGACACATTTTACGTTTTGTGCTCTATCTTATCACCGTGGTGAAGAGTAGTTGTGAAATGAGTGACACGGTTGTTAAGAATGCTGCAACGGACATAAATGTGAGGATGGTCATAAGTGCGAGGACCGGTCAAAAGTGCAAGGACCAGTCAGAAATGACTTTTTTCAGCCCTCTGAGTAGTCCCTATGCTCTTAGCCATACCCACCCAGACACATGACCAGCTAGCCACACCCCCAACTAAGCCACGCCCACAGAACCAGTTGTTAAAAAAAATTGAATCCCACCACTGGGCTATTTACAGTATAATGCTCTACAATGCACCTCTACTGTTTAGTGGCCATTCTTATGCAAATAGCCAATAAACCGCTAATTCATATACTGGGATTTTGTTTGAGTAGCAGAACATCATAGAAAATCCCATTATATCAGAGTGATACAAGCCAAGAGGAATTACATCTCAGGAAATTGTCTGGCAGAAGTAACAGATCAAGCAGAAGATGGGGAGAAAGCCCCCCTTCCTTCTCAGTTGATTGGACAAAGATGGGAAAATATCATCTGAATAATTTCACAAAAAGATATATCACTGTTGCTCTTGAGATCCAGTACATTAATAGACTAAATGATTCCAGTTGCTGGATACCTTATCTGAAATGTTGTTAATAAGCAAGAGGATTTCATAATCCAATATTATTCATTAAAAGATGTTTCACCTGTTGGACTGCTGTGCAGTTCAAATGTGTTTAAACTTGTTTTGCAATGTTTTCATTTAAGGATACACACCACCCACGCAAGTATCACAGTGAATGGTAAGCCAATTCCTAGGGAGGAGATAGAACACCAAGGCAAGTTTGGAAGTGATTTAGCATAAGGGGCAGTCTGAATATTCAATAGAAATACTAGCTTCTCCTTAGTGCAATAGTTTGAAATACATGTTTATATCATTTCAGTTTGCAGAGTTCATTCTAATTGTTGCTGAAAACTGCTTCTGAAAGGAAATGGCTTGGATTGGACTTGTTTTATTATTATTACTATTCATTTTTACGGTTTTATTACTTTTCAAACTGGGTAGTTTCCAGAATAACAGCTCCCAAAACCTTCCACCTGGACCCAGGACCATACCCGTTTTGGGAAATCTGCACATACAAAAAAAAAAAAGAAAGAAAGAAATCTCAGGTGTGATTATAAAGCATTTTTAAAATAGCTGCAAGAGGTTTTGCAGTAGATTCCTTTACATTCTGATATTTTAATTTTTTTATAAAAATAAATTAAGTTCCCTGACTCTTTCATGTCAGTTTAGGAAAGTTGACAAAGCACCAAGAGTTTCCTGATTTAGACACAGGTCAGATCTGGGAATAAGTGTTGGCATCTTATTTTCCATGCATTTCATAAAAGTGTTTCATTTTCTTCAGTTGTTGGTGCTTGTGCATAGCTGAGCAGTCAATTTGTAGTGTTCTGTGTGGTCGATCAAGAATGGTGCTGCAAACTGATGTATATGATAAACATGTCACTTGGTATACGTAATAGATTTTTCTTGGCTATCCTATATATGTAATGGGACAATTTTACTTCCTTCTCGCGCTGTGATGTAGACCGCTATAGATTTAATGTTTCTTTGATGTATAAGAAGAAAAAAAAAAGAATGGTGCTGCCCATGGAGGCATGGAAATGAACATATCAGAAATTATTACTATTGAAAGTTATTTCTGATGTCTTTTAACTACACTGCAAAATTTAAAAGTATACTTTAAAAGTATAGTAGCATATAACATAAAAGAAAGATAGCCTTGAGTTTCTGAGATATGACTTCTTAAAGAATTCTCTATATGTGAGTCTAATTGTTGATCAGAATTTTCTGTTTTTTCATCTGCTGAATTCCAGTTGTCAAAAGAATATGGTTCCGTTTTCCGTCTTCAATTGGGATGCCAGGAAATAGTGGTGCTGACTGGCTATGAGACGGTCAAAGAGGCTTGGGTGAACCAGGCAGAGGCATTTGCAGAGAGAGCCATTGTCCCTATTTTGGAGGATATTGCAAAGAACTTTGGTAAGTTATGTCATTCTGGATCATAGTTGACAATCCTTGCAAAAACCCGATCAGTATTATGTATATGTAGTCCTTATTTAGCAACTGCCTCAGAATGTGAAACAACTGGTGAGGTTTGATCCACATCCTCCCTCCCTCCCTCCCCCCCTCTCTCTCACACACACAATTTGCTCAGCAACCATGTCACATAGCAAACATTTTGCCAGAACCAATTATGGTTGATAACAAGGATTCCCTGTGGAACATTTCCCCTGAAGTTTGCATAGATAGTAGTAGCCTCAGAGAACTTGGACAGCTTTTGGAAATCTAAACAAGATAGATAAAATCTTTATTTTGCTGCCTTGATTTAATCACTCATTGCCAACAGAGGTAGCTAGAGAACAAAAATATATGGCAATATTGTACTAATAGCATGAATCCAACCCTTAACATATTTGTTTATATTTGTTTGCAAATTTGGGGTGGAGGAAAGCCCAATATTGTGCACACATTTTTCTTCATATTGCCCCAATATGGTACCTGAGAATTTGCACAGTCAAGACACTAGTAAATACTAGAACTGGCTGGTCCAAAATCTAAAGAAGAAAATAGATGCGGGAGTTTTCTCCCAAAGCTCTGTTTGGATCATATACTATTTCTCCTTGCAAGAGACAGGATAGTTTACATGTTGGGTTGCAATCCTTACTCATCATAGGCATCTTATAATTTATATTACTATACTAACTAAACCATCTTTTGCTACCCTTCACATTTAAGCAACCACTTGATCAGAGCACATTTACTGCATTTGTTGTGCTAAATATTTGCTTTCCATACCTTCATTTTTAATATCCTAAATATATTAAGATGCAATTTGCATTTTAATGGTATAATTTTCCTGGTACAAACTGATTTTCAACTTAACTTCTTATCTCTACTTCTCCAATTTCAGGTATTATTTTTGCTCATGGTAAAAATTGGAGAGTGATGCGGCAGTTTTCAATATCTGCATTACTTGATTATGGAATGGGAAAGAGTATTGTTGAAGACAAAATTACTGAAGAGTGCAGCGTTTTGACCAAAACATTTGAGACTTATGAAGGTGAATTGATATTTTTCTCTAGTGCAGATTTACCAGTGTATCTTTCTGTGTATAGAGGACTTAGAAGAATCTTTTTTTCAGAAAAATATGCCAAGAACTATTCTTTATGGAAAATTGTTATATTAAATTAGCTATTAAAGTTATAGAATGGTAAATTGTTTTCAATAGGAGCACTATTTCTATGCATGAAAATGTCTAGTCATACTGCTTACTGCTCTTATCAAAAAAAACTGGTCTTAGCGCAGTACAAGATACAAGCACTCCAACCTCAACTTTTTGCTTTTACACATTAATATATAACTAGCTATTTGTATCATGACAAATCTTTATGATCAATAAAACCAAAGTTAAAGTTTCATTTACATATCAAAATGCCTGTACATCCTTTATCTAGTGTTTATTATTAGTTCTGTTGACAATTTTAATTTATCTTCATGGTCCAGCACACTCTGTTCTAGATGTTATGACTCCCTCTTCTGAGTCCTGCAATCATGGGTGGAGAGTTATGTACCGTATTTTTTGGTGCATAAGACACACCTTTTTACCCCCAAAAAGGGGGTGAAAATCTGGGTGCATCTTATACGCCGAATGCAGCCCCGCCCACCCACCGGCCCCCACCCTTCGGCCATTTTGGGGCAGTTCCAGGCGGCAGGGATCTGTGTTGGGGCACAGCCTGAGGAACAACCCTCTTCGGGATGGTCTGGGGGAGGGGAATCTGCCCGGCAGCTTCGGGGAGCAAGGTGGGTGCCATGATTTGTGGCTGGTCACCCCTCTGGCCACCCTGCAGGCAGCTTAGGGCAGGCAAGGGCCGCAATGACTTCACTCCCCTGCAATGTAGGAGCTGCGCCTAAGCCCTCTGCGCCCAGAAGCCGAGCGAGCCGAATGAGAGCTCCTAAAGAAAAATGCCCCTCCTTTCCAGCCACCGCTGCCCGGATTCCCCAATGCAATAATCAGAGCCACATTTCAGTCAGCGGGTGGCCAGTTCCCCTGCAATGTACAGCGGGAAACTGGGAATCGTTTTGGATTCGGGGAGGGGATTGCAGTGCTTCCGCCTGAAAGTGCTTTTCTTCCTGTTGCACATTCCCAATGAGAAGAAAAGCAATTTCAGGCAGAAGCGCTGCAATCCCCTCCCCGAATCCAAAATGGTTCCCAGTTCCCCGCTGCACATTGCAGGGGAACGGGCTGCCCGCAGCCTGAAACGCAGCTCTGATTATTGCGTTGGGGAATCTGGGCAGCGGTGGCTGGAAAGGAGGGGTATTTTTCTTTAGGTGCTCTCATTCGCTCGGCTCCTGAGGGCAGAGAGGTGGCAGCTCCTCACATTGCAGGGGAACTGGCCGCCCGCTGCCTGAAACGCGGCTCTGATTATTGCGTTGCGGAATCCGGGCAGTGGTGGCTGGAAAGGAGGGGCATTTTTCTTTAGGAGCCCTCATTCGGCTCGCTCGGCTCCTGAGCATGGAGGGCTTAGGTGGCAGCTCTTACATTGCAGGGGAGTGAAGTCATTGTGGCCATTGCCTGCCCTAAGCTGCCTGCTGGGTGGCCAGAGGGGTGACCAGCCACAAATCATGGCACCCGCCTTGTTCCTGAAGCTGCCAGGCAGATTCCCCCCAGACCGTTCTAAAATGCTGGTAGGCAGAGGTAGAATTCTTGTTTTCTTGATTTCCTCCCCCAAAATTAAGGTGCATCTTATACTCCGGTGCATCTTATACACCAAAAAATACGGTACTTAAAAACTCTTATTGGAACAGTTTAAAACTTTGCAAGAAATGCACTCATTTTTAATAACTGCAGAAACAAATTGTAAATAAAAATGAGAATGCTTCATTTCTGATGGGAAGAGCTGGGGCTCTCCCCGTCATTATAGAGAGGGGATCTATGCTCTGAAGCATTAGATCTATTTCTTAAAAACTTTTATGTTACTCATTTTATTCATCATGCTGCCAGCAACATGGTCTATCCTTAACTATTCTTCCATTCCACATTGGGACTAGAATGTTGCTGCACCTTTTTGTCTGTGATCAGAAATGTAACTGCTTCTAACTCAAAATAATGTAAATAGAATAGAATAGAATAGAATAGAATAGAATAGAATAGAATAGAATAGAATAGAATAGAATAGAATAGAATAGAATAGAATAGAATAACAGAGTTGGAAGGGACATTGGAGGTCTTCTAGTCCAACCCCCTGCCCAGGCAGGAAACCCTACACCACTTCAGACAAATGGTTATCCAACATCTTCTTAAAAATTTCCAGTGTTGGAGCACTCACAACTTCTTGAGGCAAGTTGTTCCACTTGTTAATTGTTCTGTCAGGAAATTTCTCCTTAGTTCTAAATTGCTTCTCTCTTTGATTAGTTTCCACCCATTGCTTCTTGTTCTACTCTCAGGTGCTTTGGAGAATAGTTTGACTCCCTCTTCTTTGTGGCAACTCCTGAGATATTGGAACACTGCTATCATGTCTCCCCTAGTCCTTCTTTTCATTAAACTTGAGATACCCAATTCCTGCAACCATTCTTCTTATGTTTTAGCCTCCAGTCCCCTAATCATCTTTGTTGCTCTTCTCTGCACTCTTTCTAGTGTCTCAACATCTTTTTTACATCGTGGCGACCAAAACTGGATGCAATATTCCAAATGTGGCCTTACCAAGGCATTATAAAGTGGTATTAATACTTCATGTGATCTTGATATCACTAGTATAACATTAATGTGTAACGCCCTCTGGCTCAAAAGATAGGTTACAGAGTTATTCTCTATGTTACTGTCAGTAAATTTTAGCTCATAAACCTACGTCTCCTGCTATCTTCTATATCTATGCAGAATACAAACTAGTTTCTATGTAAATGCTATGTATAAGCAATCTAAAGGTGACAAATAACAGGTTTAATTCTGGGATTCTTTCACAATTCTTTTTTAATTTATTGCTCATGACCAGGAAAGCCATTTGACCCAGCAACAATTTTGAAAGCTGCAGCCACCAATATCATAGTTTCTTTTTTACTTGGCAAGAGATTTGAATATGAAGATGCTACACTTTTAAGACTACTGGAGTTAGTTGAAGAAAATGTACACCTTGTAGGAAACCCTGCTGTGTTGGTAATGTAAACTTTTCATATGAAGTAAACTTCATCCCTAGAGTTTATAAAGGATTAATTCATAAGATTTGGAACTTAATTGATTAGAAATCTTGGTTAACCATAGCTTCATGAATTTTATTGTTATTGTTGATGATGATGATGATTTTATGGACTATGGAACAAACTTTATTTGGATAAGGATGTTTTGAGATGTCTACCAGAGAATATATTCATCATATTCAGCTCTGTTAATATGCTACCTCTCTTATTATTCTATACCGTTTCAGCTGTATAATATGTTTCCCAAGCTGGGATTCCTTTTGGGTGCTCGTAAGACAATAATGAATAACTGAAAGGAGTTGAATGATTTCATACAGGCTACCTTCCTTGAAAATTTCAAAGATCTGGATGAAAATAACCAGAGGAGTTTTATTGATGCATTTCTTGTTCGGCAGAAAGAGATAATAAGGCATTTTAAATTTTTTGCTTGTTTGCTAGCGGCTGCCAAAGTAATGGTGGGGGGGCTGTATAGCAGGGGTGAAATCCAGCAAGTTCTGACAGGTTCTGGAGAAGCGGTAGCGGAAATTTTGAGTAGTCCGGAGAACAGGCAAATACCACCTCTGACTGGCCCCAGAGTGGTGTGGGAATGGAGATTTTACAATATCCTTTCCCTGGAGTGGGGTGGGAATGGAGATTTTGCAGTATCCTTCCCCTGCCATGCCCATCAAGCCACACTCACAGAACCTGTAGGAAAAAATTTTAAATTTCACCCCTGCTGTATAGGTATTTGGGTGGGAGGAAGTGAGCTGGTGGAGATGTCTTGTGATGTGACCGAATAGGGAGGAAAAGGGAGAAATACTCTCATTATCTTCTGTGCAGCTGAATGGACTTGTTGATAGTCAATCAAGATCAACTGTTCTGGCATACCAGATGGATGGGGCCATCTGAAGATGCACCTCATATGACACCTTGGGTAGCTCAGGATTGGACATTCAGCCAGGGTCCTTGGGGGGAGGGATTTGGGAATACTTTCAATATATAACTTTCGCACCTTTTGCCTCAGATCTTGCTTCCTTTTCGTTGCTATCAGTTCATGCTCAGTAAAAGTACCTTTCTCTACAAACATGGAGTTGGGGTTTTTCTTTCTTGAGTTTTGAACGGAGGCAAATCTGACAGCAGTATTGTTTTTTGTAGCAGTTGAGTGAAGCAGTCATATGGGGGTCTTGCTTAGCAACCACTTTTCTCAATGTCCAATTGTGGTCATAAGTTGAACATTACCTGTAGTACCACTTCTATTGTCTCTCATGGAGGGATAATTCTAGTAGGGAGATCGTCAGGTGGCCCTTGGGAAGCAACCCTTTTATCTTTATTTATAAATATTGGGATATTAATTATTGTGATATGGGTTGGGATATGTGGTGAATGCTCTTCCTATTGGTCCAGAAACTGATCAGTGCAGGAGAAGAGGAAAGCCATTCTCCCTTTTTAGAAATTGCAGTCTATGAATGAAATCCATGGAAACGTGAAGGTGAGCTCTGAAACCGGAAGTCTTTCTTCTTCATGTGAGTTAAAATTAAATCACTCTTCATGAAAGAAAGCGTTGAGCTGGCATGTATTGAGAAGAACTGGCAGAGAGAGGTGGGGGATGTTAATCACAATTTTTCTCCGAACACATTCCTGGTTCTTCCATTGTCACCATTCACTGGAACATAACGTGCAACAGCCACTCGGCATATGCACTTCCCTAGACAGCCACAACAAAAGGATGACCTGAGTTCATGTTTTCTGACATACATTTCTGCCCTTTCTGTGGTAATTAATCCTAATTTTAATTTCCCTGCATACATTGATACAGTAAATGCCAATCTACAAGATCAAGCTGTCTTCATTTAGATCAATTTTCTCCTTCCGTTTAAATTTCACAACAGGAAACATTTTCATTTTTCTTCATTTCAATTCATTCAATAACTCATGGTCTTTACCAAATGTTCCTCATTATCACAGTCCTCTATTACTTTGGCCATCAACATATAGGTCCATGAACCTATATGGTCTTTGGTCAATCAAGACCTTCAACATATTGTTTTTTGGTCGGATACTGTGCACAGCCCAGTTGTGAACCAGTAGTAAAGGTAAACAGAACCCACCCCTGATATGTAGGTGGCTGGAGCAGCACAGCACAAGCACAGCATGGCTTGGAGTGGTTGCTGCAGACAGGAATGAGTGAGGACATGTATGAAATTGTGGGGAAGGCATAGCAAGGCTTGGGAAGATGTTCGGGAGTGCATGGGGGGGGGGCGACAAGGGTGCACGAGAGGCAGAGTTGAGAGGTGGGAAGGGATGTGGTATTTCAAAGAGGGGCTGGTGCATAGGTGGAGAGACTTACACCAGAAAGTCCCTACTGGCTCCCCAATGGTTTTTTTGGAAGAAAACAACAAGGAAGGTCACAAATGGCAAGTATGTGATCAGAGATCACTGAACCATAGTAAGTGCAAGAGAATTGTCAAGCACCCAGCTCATGATCACAAAATTGTGGGGGTGCTGGGATTGTTGGTACTCCAAGAATGATCACAATAGCCATTTGTTCAATGTCATCATAATTTAAAATGCTCCCTGAATGGTCATAATTTAAGGACTACTTTTAAGAACTATATATGTGAGAATGGTTTTTTTTTAAATATTGCTTTAATAAAGCTTTATATAAGCAGAAATCTAGAGTCTAGATTTCTCTTAAAATCTCTTTACATTGGGTAAATGATGTCACAAAATTTAAAGACCACTATTACATCTGTTCATGTATTTAGATTGCAGGAATACACTGAATTTCCTTGATATTTTTTCTTTATATCTTCAGGAGAATAAGAAATCAACAGATAGTTATTTCCATAATGATAACCTTAAAGCTCTTGTGGATAACCTATTTGGTGCTGGCATGGATACAACTGCAAACACTTTGTGCTGGGGCATACTCCTAATGATGAACTATCCAGAGATTCAAAGTAAGCAGTTTTTATTTGACTGGATTTCAATAAAAATATATAATTACTTGCCAAATAACAAGGTGTGGGAGAATAAGAAGCAAGAATGAGTTGCTCCATCTATTTATATTTATATTTATATTTATATTTATATTTATATTTATATTTATATTTATATTTATATTTATATTTATATTTATATTTATATTAATGTGATGTGAGAGTGAATATAAGATGTCATCATAAGAAGGACTCACACATGTACCTTCAGAGATTTTGGAAAGGTGCACCAGCTACAGAATGTGTGTTATGCACCTATTATAATTATAAGCAATAATTCCCATTACTATAATTATAAGCAATAATTCCCATTACTGCTGAATAGAAGCTAAGACAGAAGAAAGCTTTTTGCTAAGAATGATATATTCCAAGCACAATCCTTTCGTAATTGATTTCTTTTACTTCACTAAGTATTTCATAGTTTCTATTTCTATTTAAAATATAAATAATCAGTCATTGTTCTGCATGGAGATAATCATAGAATAAAACATATAGTGAATAAAAGGAAAAAAATACAGAAAGAAAATTACAAACATAGATCACAAAATACAATATTATCTTCAGAACTATATTCTAAATGTACTTTGCAATTTTTGCATAAACTCCCATTTAAAACAAAATTCAACTTATGGAATCATCTTGATGCATAATGTGATTCTATTCTTCCAGGGAAGGTCCAAGAAGAAATTGCAAAAGAGATTGGAGTTTGTCAGCCAAGGGCAGAAAACCGAGTCAAAATGCCTTACACCAATGCAGTAATTCATGAAATTCAAAGATTTGCTGATATTGTTCCGACCAATTTGCCCCATGCAACCACCAAGGATATAACTTTCAAAGGTTTCTTCATTCCCAAGGTAGTTTTTGTGAAATGATCCAATTGTTAATGTTCCAATCATTCTTTGTACAGTATAAACAATTTCTGAACATACAGTAATTGAACTCACAATTTGGGAGTTGATGGAATTCCTGCAGTGTTGCTAAGACCACTGCCAACAAAAGCACTGACAGCACTTCGACAAAGTGTATGGAAGTCTGGTCAGTGACCAAAAGAATAGAAAAGGTCATTATTTATCCAAATGTCAAAGAAAGGAGATATGAAAAATTGCTCCAACTACTGAATCATTGCCTTGATATCATACTTGACTAAAATTGTCTTTTTTTTATTGAAAAGTTTTAAAATATTTTTACAAACAAATTTTCCCCCCCTTCTTCCGCCCACCCATTCCCTTCTCCCCCCCCCCCCAACTTCCCAGAGCAAAATACAGGGTATAGCATTTAACAAACATAAACAAACATAAACAAACTAACTATGAGCTCTTCACTCCCCCTTACACTTTAACTCCCCCATACATATCAAAATATAAGAATATAAGAATTCACCTTAATAGTTCATTCATAAGCTATTTGCAACTTTTTAGTCCTATATTCGTTTTGAATATAATCAATCCATCTTCTCCATTCCAATATGTATCTTTCATTCGAACAATCCTTCAAATATGCAGAGATTTTAACCATCTCCGCCAAATTAGCTACTTTTAATGTCCATTCTTCAATAGTAGGTAAGTCTTCCTTCTTCCAATACTGCGCCACCAAAAGTCTGGCTGCAGTTATTAAGTTCAGAATCAAATTAGTCTCTATAACCGTACAGTCTGTACCTAATAAAAACAACTGTGGAGTAAATTTTATCTTTTTTTAAGAATATTTTGTATAATCCACTATATCTTAATCCAAAATGCCTTAATTTTTTTACACGTCCACCATATATGATAATACGTTGCATCAGCACATTTACATCTCCAACATGTAGGTTGTAAGCTTGGATACTTACAAGCTAACTTTTTGGGATCTAAATGCCATCTATAAAAGATTTTGTAAAAATTTTCTCTCAAGTTTTGAGCTTGGGTAAATTTTACATTTCTGGCCCATATTTTTTCCCATGTTTCCATCATTATTTGGTTCCTCAATATTTTGTGCCCATTTTATCATACAGTCCTTCACTAACTCAGTTTCTGAATCTATTTCTGTCAATGCATTATACAACCTTTTGATATGCATTGGACTTTGATCCCTAATTTGTTTTATCAAATTTTCCTCATTTTGCAAGATACCAATTTTCTGATCTTCTTTCCATCTAATGTACAACTGTTCATACTGAAACCAAGTTTGAATTATCCTTTCTTCCCTTAATACCTCTAAAGACTTTAACTGCAATGTACCTCTTTCTATAATAAGAAGCTCTTTGTAAGTAATCATATCTTGTTTCTGTTCTACACTTATATTCTCTATCGTATGTCTAGGTATTGCCTATATAGGTAATTTATTATTTAATTTATATTGATACTTTTTCCATACACGTAGTAATGCATTCCTTAATATATGACTTTTAAAATTCTTGTCCACCTTTTTATCGTATAGTAAATATGCATGCCACCCATATAACGAATCATATCCCTCAATATTCAATATTCTCTCTTCTGTTGAGTTAATCCAATCACTAATTGCTGAAAGGGTAGCTGCCTCATAATACAATCTTAAATTAGGCATTTTGAAACCTCCTCTTTCACGTATATCTTGCATTATTTTTTGTTTTATTCTAGGTCTCTTTCCTGCCCACACAAAATTAGTAATACCTTTCCGCCATTCATTCAAATTTCCATCTTTTTTCAATATTGGTATCATTTGAAAAAGGAATAAGAACTTTGGCAAAATATTCATTTTCTTTATTTTTTTTATTGAGTTTTAAACAGAGATATAAAGACAATATAAAAAATACAAAGACATTACAAAGACAAACGAGTTCCCACCACCAACCTACCCACACCATACTGTACATATATGTTTTGATCATCATCAGAATATATATTGCTTTAGTAAAAGGCGAAAGATTTATACGATCTGAAGAGAAACCAGAGTATTTCTATAGACTGGTGGCCATATAACCAAATTAAATCCAGATATAAAAAAGATAAGGAGGAATTTGGCATTGAGATGAGCATAAATGGATTCGACAAGATATGGATGGGTACGGACGACAAAATTCTAGCTAAATTATATAATTACTTATTGGAGTATGATATGGCAGAGGAAGTAGTTAAAGAACCGATGTTAGCATGGGCCAAAAATATAGGACAGAATATAAATCTGAACGAATGGGATTCAATATGGAATAATAATAATAATAATCTTAAAATGACAAAGGCGACGGCTTATAAGGAAAACCAATACAAGCTGTTTTATAGATGGCACATGGCCCCAGCTAGGATAGCGAAGATCTACCCCAATTCGAGCCCTAAATGTTGGAAATGTGACCATCAGCAGGGTACTTTTTATCATTGCTGGTGGACATGTAATCAGGCACAAAAATTCTGGAGGATGATATGGGTGTGGATTAGAGAAATAATAAAAGAAAATTTTGATTTCGACCCAAAAGCTTTTCTCCTGGGAATTTTGAAAACTGAATATGCAAAAAAGAAAAAGTATTTAATTATACATATTCTGACAGCTGCTAGAATTTCCTTTGCCCAGTATTGGAAAGAAAAACAAATACCACCTCAAGAACATGTTATTGGAAAAATATTGGAGTGCGCCGAAATGAACAAATTGACTTCAGAAATTAATGACAGAGAAGATTCAGAATTTTATAGCGTGTGGGACATGTGGTACGAATGGATGGGGGAAAGAAATAAAGAAGGTAATAGAGATTAAATATTAACTAATGAACAAATCTATATGAATAGTATTATATTTAGTCTTAGAGAGTTGAGCACCATTATCTTTAAGTGTATTGAAATTAAATTTAGCTTCAAGAAACAATACCAACAAAAGACAAGCAATAATGCATGTAGATGTATATATGTATATAATTGCACCAATGAACCGAAAATGTACCGATTGTATTACTATATGTTATAATAAAAATCAAATTCAAAAAAAAAAACAGAATATATATTGCTTTATAAGTTAATATATACGTAATACATTGTCAATTCAGATGTTTTAGATTAGAAATAATCTTGCATCTCTTCTTTATTTAGTTTCCGGTTTTATTTTTTCTACCCTATATTCTTTCATCTATATTTGTACTGATTTTCTTTTCCAGCCATTGATACCACTGGTGCCACACAAGATAGAATTCACTTTCTTCTTTATCTTGGAGTTCTAGTGTCAGTCTATCCATTTCGGCACATTCTGTTATCTTTGAGATTAATTTGTCTTTGGTTGGGAGTTGATCTGATTTCCAATTTTGCGCAAACAGTAACCGTGCTGCTGTCAAAATGTGTATGATGAGGTATTTTGTCTCTTTGTTGTGTTGTGTTGTTATCATTCCAAATAAAAAAAATTCTGGAGTGTTTTCTACTTGTTGATTTATTATTTCTTCAATGATTTCCTTTGTGTCCTTCCAGTATTGTTGGGCCTTTGTACATTTCCACCAGGCATGGTAGTATGTCCCCTTTTTTGTTTTGCACTTCCAACAGCGTGGGGAGGTGTTTGGATATATTTTGGCTAGTCTGGCTGGTGTTAGGTGCCATCTGTAAAACATTTTTATGAGGTTTTCTTTGTAGGGTATGGCTCTTGTCATTTTGATGTTCTGTTTCCACAATTTCTCCCAGTTTGCCAGTTGGATGTTGTGCCCTATGTCCCTGGCCCATCTTATCATATTTTCTTTTACTGTTTCTTCCAGTAATTTATATCTAAGTAAGTAGTTATATAATTTGGTTATCATTTTTTGTTCTGGGCCTTGTAAAATCTTATCCAATTCGTTCAAATTATTCGAGATTCCATATTGCTTTTTGTCTGCTATGTGTCTTGAGTGTATTTGAGTATAGGGCCACCAATCGATATTTATGCCGGAGTTTTGGAGTTGCTGTCTTGAAATGAGTTCGCCTTCATGATTCAGTAAGTCTTGGTACCTCATCATTTTTCCTATTTCGAGAGTGTTCAGGTATATCAATGCTTCCATCGGGGACCACCATTTTGGTATTTTAGTATAGTGAGTTCTCTTAATATCCTGCCAGATCTTGAATAATGAAGCTCGAATTATATGACATTGGAAGTACATGTGTCTCTTATCCGATCCGTCCCATAAGAAAGCGTGCCATCCTCTTATTAAGTCAAAGCCTTCTAAATATAAAGTTCTTTTGTTGTCAAGTTCCATCCATTCTTTAATCCAGGTCAATCCTGATGCCTTATAGTAGAGTTCCCAATCTGGTGTTGCTAGGCCTCCTTTGTCCCGTGAATCCTGTAGGGCTTTGATTTTAATTCTGGCCTTCTTTCCCTGCCATATGTAGTTCATTGTTGTTTTGTTGAGGTTCTTAAAGAAATCTCTTCCGGGGTGTATTGGTATCACTTGATATAAATATAGTACTCTTGGTAATATATTCATTTTTATTGAGGCAATTCTGCCCATCAATGAGAGTTGTAATCTACTCCAAATTTCTAAGTCTTTTTTGATTTGTTTTAACAATTTGGTATAATTATCTTCTTTAATTGTAGTTGCTTTTGCTGTCAACCAAATACCTAGGTATTTTATTTTCTTTACTATTTGAAGTCCTAATTCTTGTTCTAATTTCAACTGTTGTGTTTGGGTCATATTTTTCGTCAATACTTTCGTCTTCTGCTTATTTATTTTGAGGCCCGCAACTTCCCCGTATTCCTCTCTCATTGTCATCAACCTGGTTCCAGATCGTATTGGGTTTTCCAATATGAAGATCACATCGTCTGCAAAGGCAAGTAATTTATACTCCTCTCCCCGGATCTTAAGGCCTTCCACGTCTTCTTCCTTCCTGATTTCCGTTAATAAAACTTCCAGTGCGATTATAAATAATAGAGGTGACATGGGGCAACCTTGTCATAC